CCTCAGGAGTATTATATCAAGAACCTTCTGCCTTGGCTTCTTACTGGCTCCACACACTCTTTCTTTGTTCCCAATCGTGAGCTAATTCTGCCCTGTGTCTGGGTTAGTTTCACTCTGCTTTTCTTTCAATGTCCAGATAAGTCCCTGATCATTCCAGCTCTGCCAGGTATTTCTGGCTAACTCTTATGTTGTATGTAGTCTCTCTGATAGTCTTTTGTACCCTTGTGATGGTGTTTATGGCCATCTTCTTCAACTCTTGCCTCTTGGGCATTTTCCTTTCTGTGTTTTAATGTGTATCTATTTTGGCTAGATTTCCATTGTAAGAGGCTGCATCTTTCTGACCCTAGGAAGTGTTAGACTTGGATTCTGTGTGTAGTTGGTTCTCAGGAAATGACTCTATCAAAAATCTGTTTTACTAATCTATATTGGTTGGAAGGAAACGGGGATTGGGAAATGACTTAGCTTGCTGCAAGTACAAAATAGACTTTCATTTTTGACAGGTTGTCAGACATTGCATACCCCAAAGCTGCAATGTATCTCAATTTCATCCAGTTAGCTGAATAGAAACAGTAATGTGTGGAGGACTGAAATTGTGGGAGTAGATACAGCACTCTAAAGTTCCCAAATACCAATTTTGCTGAATAAAGTTTGGTACTCATCCATGGCCTCTCATAAGACCACCCTTGGCATTTGAGGCTCAAGAACAGTAGATAACAACACAGAAAGGATGGTGACTAAAACGAATGTCCTAGGCTTGGAGGTTGGAGAGGAATTCCCTCCTTCTGGAGTATGAGGTCCTTAAGATTGGTTTAAATCATAAAACTCTTATGAGGGACTGGCAGTGGGCCAAAGAGGCTTATTTATTTAAATGTATATTGGCAGAAATATCAAAGTACTTCAAGGCAGTGCGCAAAAAGTTTTTCTGGGAGGCAAAATTGTAAGCATGTGAGGGCCCATGGGCTGTACAATCTTCAACAACACAGACCTGTCAATACAGCACAAAAGGTGCCCATAGTCAATGTGTTAAACCAGTGAGCTTGGTTATCTTCCAACAAAACCGCTTATGGAGAAGGAATTTACCTTTATTTTCACTTTCCCCAAAATATCACCACTCTTAAGGTTTTAAAGAGATTTAGCCATTCAAAATCCATAAGTCGCATCCTTCAACCTGTTGCGTTGATGAAGGGTTAGGTTTGCTCTGTGTCATGCAAGAATGCATCCTCACCAATAGGCAGGTGACCAGGAAAAACTTAGAAACTGTACAGTTAAATGATACCATAATTCAATGGACCTAAGAGCTGTCTACAGAAAATTCCACCCACACAGCAGCAGCCTGTGGGGCTTTCACCAAAACAGATCACAGAGGAGAATCCAAAGCCCGTCTTACCAACAACACATAGGCTATTCTAAAGAATCATAAGAATTCCACATACTGGAAAAATCTAAAAAAAAAAAAAAAAAAAAAGATGAATTCTAGATAGATATAGCCTACCAAAACTAAAACAAGATGAAGTAAATCACTTAAGCAGAAATATGATTATTGTGGTTAGATGTTAAATTGGTATGAAGAGAAATTCAGATCCTATGAGACTAAGCAGTCAGTGGACCAATGAAGTCTTTAGGACTAGTCAAGTAGAAAAAAAAATGCTTTAGAGATTGGGTGGTTAGAGTTTCTCCTCCTCTTCCTCTTCCTCTTCCTCTTCCTCTTCCTCTTCCTCTTCCTCCTCCTCCTCCTCCTCCTCCTCCTCCTCCAAAAGAGGTGTTTTGTGTAGCAGGAATTGTTAGGAGGTCAAACAAACCCAGGGCCTGGTATTGGGGTAGATGCTGAAAGATCAGAGAAGCAGAACAAGCCACAGCTACCTCACCTTGCCAATTACTCAGCTGATCCTGTTTCCTCAGACTGGAGGCCTCTGAGTCCTTATCTGAATGGATCTCAGCTGAACTGCTGCTCAAAAGCCTAAAAGCTTAACCGACACTAGTTCCTGGTTTTCCTGCCTTATATACCTTTCTGCTTTCCGCCATCACTTCCTGGGATTAAAGGCATGAGTCACCATGCCTGGATGTTTCCAGTGTGGCTTTAAACTCACAGAAATCTGGATGGATCTCTGCCTACCAAGTGATAGGATTAAAGGTGTGTGTGCCACCATTTCCTGGCCTCTATATCTAGTGGCTGTTCTGTTCTCTGACCCCAGATAAGTTTATTAGGGTGCCCAATATTTTGGGGAACACAATACCACCACCGTTTTGCTTTAAATTTTTTAAAAAATTTGAGACAGGGTCTCTGGAACTAATTCCTAGGCTGGCCTCTGACTCAGTTCTCCTGGCTCCACCAATCAAGTACTGGAATCAGAGGTATGCAGTGCTCTACATGGCAGAGCAACCTGCTGGTTTTTTTTTTTTTTTTTTTTTTTTTTGTTTTTTTTTTTTGTGAAATAAGGTCTTAGTGTACAGCAGAGGCTAGCTTGAACTTGTGATACTTTTACTTCAGCCTCCCAGCTGCTAAGTTTTCATGTATGTGCCACCACACCTAGCATGCAAAGTAATTGTTTTACCCTATGTGTGCATGTGGAATTTGGTATGTGTGTGGATGCATGTCTGTATGTGTGTGGGTGTATGTGTGTATGAAGCTGTGCATTTGTATGTGTATACACTCATGTGGGGGCCTAAAGTTGACACTGTTTCTTCCTGGATCACTTTCCACTTCATTGGTTTAGACCAGTCTCTCCCTGAACCTGGAGCTCACCACTTCTAGCAAGAATCAGCTTGACCCAGAGATCCCCAGTTTCTACCCTTGAGTCCCGAGATTAAGGTTGCTGACACAGCTGCCTGGATTTACTGGGTTCTGGGGTCTTAAGTACAGTCCTCAACCTTGCCCCAAAAGTGCCTTATCCACTGGGCCATCTTGTAGCATGAATCTTAAAAAGTTCTTATTAATAAAATCTAACCCGAGGCCACGTATTGGGGTGAAATGCTGGAAGATCAGAGAGACAGAACAAGCCACAGCTTCCTCACCTGGCCAATTCCTCAGGTGGTCCTGTTTCCTCAGACTGGAAGCCTCTGAGTCCTCATATCTGAATGGCTCTCAGCTGTGCTGCTAGAAGCCTGAAAACTTAACCAGGCCAAATGCTTAACCAGCCAAAGTCTCTAGTTTCTGGTCCTCACACCTTATATACCTTTCTGCTTTCTACCACCACTCCCTGGGATTAAAGGCTCGCTTTCTGGGATTAAAGGCGTGAGTCACCATGCTTGGCTGTATCCTTGAACTCATGAATTTCTGCCTCTGGAATGCTAGGATTAAAGGCGTGTGCTATCACTGCCTATCTTAAGTATCTAGTGGCTTTTCTGTTCTCTGACCCCAGATAAGTTTATTAAAGTACACAATATTTGGGGGAACACAATACCACCACACTATCTCTCCAGTCCCTGTAAGGCAATCTTTAAAGGAAACCATTGGAGGGTACTTTTCATTGAAATTCAGTGATACACCCTATGTAAACATCTGGTTTTCTTCTGCCTCAGATAGTGTGTCTTTTGTTCAATAAAACAAAAGGACTCCTCTAAAATCTGTCTCTGTCTCTGTCTCTGTCTCTGTCTCTCTCTCTCTCTCTCTCTCTCTCACACACACACACACACACACACACACACACACACACACACACACA